AGTTCAAAAATAAAAAAGAGGATTTATTTGTTATTGCTTTGTGCCTTATTTAATCATGAGACCCATACAAAACAGGTCTAAATATGCTGTACTGTGTTTAAATAAGGACAAATTCTAACATGACTGTGTTGTACACCTTTTTACAAGGCTGTTGAGAGTTCCAGTTCAACAACATATTGAAACATACTGTTTAAAAAGTCCTCAAGTTTAACTGAATGAAGTGCAACTAACTAAGGGCTATATCAGTATAAGAAATATTTTAAAAGTTTGAGGTCTAAATCAATTTTTAGGCAGATGAGGCAATTAACTCTGAGCCTGCAGTCTGAACTTCCTCTATTTAAAGGCTGGAGGAACACTGCAGGTGGCGTAATTTGCAAAGCTGAGGTGCAAATGTAAATGTCTGACAGCCTAGTTTAGCACCATAAAAGAATGAGGCCATGAGAAAATGTGGACTTGAATGTACAACTGAATGTATTTGGACATACAGTTTTGCTGCTGGCTCACCAGTAAGGGTTTTTCTGCTTCACACAATGATTCTTGGGCCTGAACTCACGCCTATTTATCTTATTTAGGTTCTTCCAGAATCCTATGACATGCTAATTTGCAAGATGAGCTATAGAAAAAGCTATTTTCAGAGATTATTGCTGATATTATTTGGGGCAAACTGAGTGACAGCTACTATTTCTTCCCTAAGCTGCTTTGAAATTTCATCCATTCTTCACCAGTTGGAGCCACTCAAAAGTGGGATCATTCAAGAAATTCACAGAATTATTTGTTGTATGGCTTTGGATGATTTTGCATGGTTAAAAATATAGCACGCAGTAATAAAAGACAGTTGCAATGAAATATGCTATTAAAATTGCATTTAGTCAATTTAGGTGTTAATTTCTCATTTATTTGCAAAATAATTCCACAGATGAAATAAACCAGCACATTGCCACGCTGTTTGAACATTAACTTTTCTTGTCATACACTGAATATACTTATGTAGTGGAATAAAGATCATGAAATATGTCACAAGGACAAAATCCAGCAACTGTTGAGAATGGGATTGCAAGAATGAAACTTTGGGAGATAAACAGAAATGGAGCAGAGTAAGTCAACATCAGTTACACAAAAAGAGGCCCTTCAGTATATGCCAAGAGGATGAACCATAATTTGCTATGGGCCAGGCTTCTAGGCAAGTTTGCTGCCCTGGCAATGCAAGTGACAGCTTCTTGCAATGAGATGTGACAAATAACGAGATAAATACTAAAGCTGTGTCAACTAACTCTGTGCTCCTAAGAGTCCTAGGAGCCTTTAGCCCAGCCAATAAGGCAAGTTCTCCACTCTTTGTGCACCCAGAGGTCCTATGTGAAATGCAGAGCTTTGAATGTCAGAGTAGCTCAGTACTAGATTTTAGGTATTGTTTTGAAAATCTCAAGCATATGTATTTTTCTTTTTCTTTTCATCATGACCTAAATGCAAGTCACATGTCCCGTCGCCCTCCTCATCCCTCCAAGACAGATGACAGATCTAGTTGAGCCTGGATATTCTGTGAAAAATCAGCTTTCCTGGTTTATCTTAGTCACCAAAAGTTGAACATAGGACTTACAGTCATCGTAATTTTTAAGCAGAGTTTCTTCAGTAGTGGAGGAACTAACTTCTTCATACTTCTTGGGCTGTACTGTCAATTTCAGAAAGTGTTGCTGATAAGAAATATTTATATAACAGGTAATTTAAAGATTATTTTTATAACAATACTGGCATTAACAGTAACACTTAGATTGAGGGCTAATGGAATCTTTTGCAGTTCTGTGAAAAAAAAAACCTTCTGAGGAAAAAAAAAAAGTTGCAAAATCCATGTTTATTTTTGTTATCAGGTTTAAAACGACATCAATAAGAATATCAGTGCCTGAAGTCCTTTTGTCCCCTTCAAAGAATATGGATTGAATATTGAAAGTTTTGTAATAACAGTCCTTTTGCCTGTGATGGTTTTGGTGCAGTGATCTGGAAAACACTGGTAGAGGCATGTGAAAGAAATGGGAGTAGTTTTGTATAAAACAGTACATTTTAGTCTTGTAGAAGCAAATAAGCAATAATCGGCTTTCGGGAAGCTGGGCAGCTCAGAGACATGGATTACACAAAAATCAAAGTTCAATGACAGTCTTTATAAAATTACATCAAGTTTGTAAGCTAAATACACAACAGCAGAAATGCAAAGCAGAAGCTAAAATTCTACTTATCCCCCATGGAATTTACTATGGATCTTTTCCCTCACACATGCCTAAATACTGAAGAACTTATCATAAATTTTGCTTTTGCATGAAAAAATTTTGCTTTCATGGACTTGATTTGTTAAGTGACATAATGTGGGGTTGGGTTTTTTTAGTTCATTTGTTTGGTTATGGTTTTGCTTTTAAATTAAGAAATCCCCATTCTCTATCTGGTTTTGTTTCTCACATTTTCAAAGCCCAAGATGCTTTCAGAAACAGAACTTAGATCTGGAAAAATATGGATGAAATACAGGCTGTCCTGAACTGTAAGACCTCCTCAGGGAGGAACCAAATGATAAATCACTAATAATTGAAACTAGAATCACATTTTCATCCCAGAGGATCTCTAACTCATTTTCACCTGGATTGAGTCGGACTTTGATTTCAGCACTTTCCAGAAGTCTTTTAAAAGTGGCTTCTGCCTGCAGAGACAGATATTTTAGCATTTTTACAAGTTCTCATCATTAGTCTCCCAGCACACTGCACACTCATTTCCAGAAGACAAAAATAAACAGAAGGTCATGAATTCCCAGCACCTTAGTAGGCAGAGGGGTAATCCACCATGGGCGTATTTTTTTCAAGCAATAATTTAATTATTTAGAATTCTGTACAAGAGTTTTAGTAGACTTCATATAAAGCTGTGATATGTTTAACATTCTAAGACTGGATATTAACTGGAATAATAATTGTATTTACTTATGCAGCTTAGTAAGTGGCAGTGTTGTTGATCCAAAGAAGGTACTTTGTGAGGCAACTAGTAGGAAGGGTTACTCCTCGGGAATGGACATAATTTTATCTCTAACAATTTGATTTGGAGGAGTGGGCTTCACAAATTGGGCTGAGGCAACTGATACCTCTTAAATCTGGCAGTTGCATGCCTCAGGTAGACAGTCATTGCATTGCATTCAGCCACATACTTGGATTGTGAACACCAGTCTAAGGCTGTACGTGATCATTTCTGAGCAGGCACACACTAAAAAATTAATTGTGATTCCATAACAATTTTCAGTTAGACTTGTTCTTTTAAGTCAAAATTAGCCTAGCCATCATAAAAGTAGAAAATAAAAAATACAGTTCTAGGACTATTTTTTAAATGCTGAGATCACCTATGTGTGACCTGACTGGGAATTTGGGTTCTTCAGGGATATTTGTACAGTGCATTCAATACTACTGAGCATCCAGCAGTGACATCTGATTTCAGGGTCATCATGGTGTCACAGTGTTCACAGTCTCTGCAAGCTTCTCTTTATTTTTCTTTATTTATTTTAAAACTTTTACTGGCGCACTCTTTTGACAGCAAAAGCAGTGTTATTAAAAGTAATCATAAAATTATTACATTTGAGAACAAGTTTCGGTTTTACTGTTTTTTCTCTTTCTTTTTTTTCTTTTTTTAAGAAAAGTAGTTTTTGTTTTCTTGCTTTGTTGGCATGCTGTAGCTTTTAGCTTGCAGTAGGGAACTTTTCATAATATGTCCACTTAGTCCTTCAGATATTTTAGGTATTGAGGGCATTAACTTCTTTTTTAGAAGTAAGTATCTGATTCTTAACTTGAACATTTTTGGAAATTCCATTATGCTACTCAAGGCTGTATGTTATTGAGACACTGATGGGGAGGAGAGTGAGATGAATGGCAGTGCAGCACGGGACAGGTAGTTCATACAGCACTGAGCAATGCAAGGGGAAACCCTTTGTGAGCTAATTATATAGTTCTTGGAAACAGAAGCAGTAACTAGCCTTTATGCTGAGAGACTACTAGGGATTTTGAAGATGACCTAAAACTTGTGATAGGCCAAATCTGCCACACCTCAGGTATTTTGTGCCAGGATATAAACTGATTACATGTAATAAACCTACTGTAGTGGGGAAACAGCCTAGTTCTTCTCATCCCCTTATTCCTTTACCTGTAATGTGATACATTGTTATGTTTCTATTGCACTAATTCAACAGCAAACAGGAAACAGATGCCTAAGTTAATCATGAATATAAACCACATCAGAGAGTTCCTCTTGCTATACGACATTTTTATAATGTGATTGCAGGAAGAATTTCCTGAGAGACCTGTAATTGATAGACCTATTAAAGCACTAAAATAATTTCATAAGGAACAAAATAACATTTGAAGATGGTGTATGTCTTAGCTGACTTGTGCTTTGTAAGATTCTGAAACATTACCACCGAAACTCAGGAAGGGTTTTTGAACATACGCCAAATGAGCAAAATAAAAGATCCACTATAGGTGATAGAGGTCTTCCAGAAAACAGAATAAACTCTCCCCCCCCCCCCCGGCACAAACAGTATGCCTCATTTTATCACTAGGAAGTTTCTCAAAGCAAGAATGTCTTTCAAAATAAATACTTGAGGCGTACTCTGGCTACGTGTCACGCACACCTGTAAGTCACAAATACTCTCAGGTGTCGTCGATCTGTCTTTTTTCGGCTTCTCTCCCGCCCTCGGTCGCAGTTAAGCGCTGTCGGGTCCGGACGTCCCGACATGGCGCCCGCCCGCCCCAGCCCGTCCGCGCCTCCTGCTGAGCCGGCACTGCCGCCCCGCTCCACTCGCATCCCAAGGGCAGCGCCGGGGCGCGGGCGGGGCAGAGCGGTGCGGTGCGGCCCGGCCCGCCGGGGGGCAGTCCCGCCCTGCCCCGCCAGCCTCGGAGAGCCGCTGCCGCTCCGTCCTGTGCCGTCCGAGGGGATTTTGGAGCCTTAGCGAAGCCAGTACAGCCCCTCTTCCTTGAAGGCCGCGTGAAATGGGTTTCCCGGGCAGGCTGGCGGTGCTGCCAAAACTTGTGGCGGCGGGCCGGGCCGGCGGTGCCTGGCGGCGGCGGGACCGGCTCTGCGCGGGGGTCCCGCTCCCGGGCCGCGCCGCCGCTGCCCTCCGCCCGCCACCCGGCAGCCGCGCCGCCTCCTCAAGGGCCCTGGGCGACTACGAGGAAGTTTTCCGGTCTTCCCTGGCGGAGCCCGAGAAAGTCTGGGGAGCGGCCGCTGAACAGATCCGGTGGTACAAGCCCTGGGTCCGGACTCTGGAGAGAGGCAGCGCGGGGAGCGCCTCCTGGTGAGTACCCGAGTGTTCCTGGGGCGGTGCGGGGCCCGGGGCCGGGGCGGCGAAGCTCGGCTGTAACGGGGAGGGACGGAAGACTGCCCGCCGAGGGTCTGCGGGTGCGCTGAGCTGGGGGTTCTGTGGTAACGGCAGAACTACCCCAGCGCCTGTCTGGGATGGGCGATGTGTCATCGCTGATGGGGGAGACGGCTGCAGAGTTTGAAGGAGTTTAATGATTACACTTGGTCAAGCTTAATGATTAAAAGCCACATGAATGGATATGTTGGGGTGAGGGGTGCGTGCACTGTGGCAGGCGTGACACCTGTGTGTGGGTCCGTGTGTGGCTGAATGATTTGGAGGAGTGTGCCTGATGCTCCCCTATCCAACCCTTTTTGGGCCTGGACCTAGGACCAGGCTTCTGTGAGCATGAGAAACCCAGCATCAGGTGGCAGGGGAGGCAGGTGTATGAAAATGCAGGCACTGTGGCTTTTAGGGTTCTTTAATGTTAGATACTATCTAAGTCATAGGCCATAATTTAGATGTTGTGGTTAAGGTTAAGGTAATGTTTGTCAAAAGCGTGGGTATTGCAATATATATCTCCATGCAGTGAATGGCGAACTGTCCTAAGCAGAATACAATATCCATCTTGTAAATTACTGGATATGATTTTCAGTACTTTCGCAAAAGTAATTTACTGTTAAAAATTTGTGTTCACCACCATTGCTTCTTTTTCAGCATGCTTACATCATGGTCTTTGATCTTTTCTCAAAAAAAAGCTGATATTGGATATAAAAGGCAATGTAGGGTGAGGATCATCTTTAGTACACTGACGTTCTTTGCCCTTTTTATATTTTTCTGGTTTGTTTTTAATTAAAAATACTAATAATTCTAAAATTATAATTAAAAATATTACTTTTCAAAGTTGTGCAAATTAAAAGATACAGATTCAGTAGAATGGAGCTCAGTTTCTTATTGGTGTCTGTCTGACATCATTGGTTGGCACCTCAAGTAGTGAAAATTGTTTATATGTCTTAAGCTGAATTTTAGGCAACACCGAGCCAGAATGGGCTGCGTAACAGTCAGAAGTCCTAAAATGAATAGATAGGGTTCACTGACTTTGGTTTCTAGGTCGTGGCACTATTCAGAAAGTGCAGGTCAGATTGCCTGCATAATTAGGATCTAGAGAAGGGTCTAGAGAACAAGTTATGTGATGAGTGGCTGGAGTTCTTTAGTCTGGAGAAAAGGAGGCCTAGGGGAGACCTTAACCGCTCTCTAAAACTGCCTTAAAGGAGGTCGTAGCCAGGTGGGTCGAGGTCTTCTCCTAAGTAACAAGTGATAGGACAAGAGGGAGTAGCCTCAAGTTGTGCCAGGGGAGATTAAGATACTAGAATTAGAAATACTGGATATTAGGAATATTGGCTATTATGAAAAATTTCTTCACTGAAGAAGTTGTCCAGCACTGGAACAGGTTGCGACAGGAAGCGAAGGAATTGCCAAATCTGGAGGTATTTAAAAGATATGTAGACATGGCACTTAGGGACATGGTATGGTGGTAGACATGGCAGTGTCTACCATTTGGTTGGACTCAGTGATCTTAAAGGTCTTTTCCAACCTAAATGATTCTGTGAATCACTGATTAAAGACCAGTAAAGCTCACTGATTCTGGCATTCCTGAATAAAATAACAAAATCAATAGAATGGTTACTCTTGAAGAACTAAGGAATGAGAATATAATACATGCAAATGAGCATGGTTTTGCTATCAAATTCTGTCAAACAATTGTGGTTTCATTTGCTGACCACAATAAGCTTGCTTGCTGCAAATAACATGCTTAGGTCTTTGTAAAGCATTGTGACTTCTCAGATGGAAGTTACTTGGCCTTATGAGAGGGAAAAATGGATGTTTCATGGTCTGAAGTCAAACTTATCTTCCAAGGTCTTTTCTGTACTCACTTTTTAACTTTTATCTTTCTCCCTCTGTGGATGCAAATTGCCATAGACTGAAATTCTCTCGTTAATATGGGCAAATACCTGAAGGGAGGGTGCATGGAAGATGGAGCCAGACTCTTTTCAGTGGTGCCCAGTGACCAGACCAGAGGCAATGGGCACAGACTGAAGCACACGTTGTTCCCTCTAAACACCAGGAAAAACTTTTTTTAATGTGAGGGTGGCTGAGCACTGGCACAGAGTTGATTGTGGGATCTTTCTCCTTGGAGATATTAAAATACCATCTGGACACGGTCCTTCCTGGTCTACTGACTCCAGGTGGACCTTGTAGAAGCCTAGAAGATAAGGGGGCCAATGTATATGTCTCAAACACCAATAGCCAAATAGCTGTGGAGCCATACAAAGGTTATTGGTAATAACAAACTGTGAGAAAGAACAGGATGTGGTTGGAGAAGGGGACCATACAGAGGTAGAGCAGCACTTTTCTGGGACAGATGTCCTTGTTCTAATTCCTGGAGCTAAGCAAAACACAGAGAAGTGAGCATGGACTATGAGGGGGGGATCAAGGCCACCAAAGATCCCCAAAACCCTCTAACCCACTTTCAGAAAGGTTGAGAAGGACTGTGCATGATAACTAATTTTCAAATAAAGCAAGAAACTTATCTATAAAAATGTACCCCCACAAAGCCTGGGTGCACGTGCACCAGAGGATCCTTGACGACCCATCTGCTGGGTTGACACTGGAGCCAGGCCTCTTTTCTCTCGTTCTTCTTTTCTTTGTCTCTCCCCTTCTTTAATTCATCTGTGTCTTTCTCTTTTACCTTTTGCCCTATCCCTTTATCCAAAATCCACTGTGATGTGCTTATACTAGGAGATAAGGACAAACTTATACCAATTTCTATACGAAGTGTGTAATTTACTGATAAAACTCCATAAGCTTTTGCAGACCCTCTGACTTTTGTCATTCTTTTTGACCACAAGCATCTGTGAATCTTAGATGCTGCCTTCCCCTAAGGGTGGAATGCCACGTACCTGCCTCACTAGGTGCCCTCCAGAGGTCCTTTCCAACCTCAGCCAGTCTGTGATTCTGTAGCATTATACAAAGATGCAGGTCTGAAGACTCAACGCTAGGTCGTAATTGTTTGCATGTCAGGTATCTGTTGCTCTATGGGTAATAAAATTTAGACAATTCAAATTTATGTAAAACTCTGTAAAGGTCTTAATGTGCAACATGCAGTTTTATTTCTGTTTTTAAGTTCACCTGAAGTGCCAACAGGCTGTATGTGATACTAGTGTTGTACTTTAATGCCTCTGAAGTCTCAGATTGTTACCAGGATTCAGTGTGCTCAGCAGGATGACAGACAGGTAAGTTCTTTGAGTATAAGAGAGGGAGAACATAAAAGAGGGTCTTTTGGGGGACAGGCTGAAGTGAAAACAGAGAGTGGAGCTCAACTGAGAAAGAGGCCAGGCTTCCAAGCTAAAACATACAGGGTAAAGATGAGTGCTGGTTCAGAGGTTTACCTTGGAAGCTGTTTATGGAGACCTCAAAAATAGTATTAAGAAGTCCATGTATGTGCTTCTTGAGTTAGAATTTGTCTCCTGTTTTGGAGAGGTATGTGGTCAATTAGGAAATATAATTGTTTTCAATATCTTTGTTTTTGGTTGCCAAACCTGAGACTTAGAGTAACAGATGCTTTTCATATATTTTCCAATGTCATTTACTTCTGTTGAAGAAGTTGAAGGAGGCAGTTACTGTATTTAAAATGTAGCTATAAGGCAAGTCTTCCTCTCTAAATACTCTTCAAGTACTCTAAGCGTGAAAGCAGTGTGCCCTTGTGTTTCTTCTTCAGTCTCTGCCATTGGAAATAGTAGTACTACGTCAGTGGGATGCAAAATGATTTCCAAAAGGTACTGAGCAGTGTCACCGTCCCTTGACTGTTTTTTTTTTTTTTAAGCAGTAATTCCAGGTACCATTCACTGTTCTAAGCTGCACCAGTGGCTGATACAGGACAAAATGACATCTGGTTTAGCTTACATCAAAAATAATAAGAGCTAAGAAGCATGATTGGCCAAGAAAAGGATGAAGGAATTGAAATAGTTTGGTTTAAAAGCCAAAAGGGAGAGCTAAGTTTTAAAACACACAGAGTTTTGCAAAAAAGTTGAAGGAAAAACTTCCTCAAGTTGTCTTTGAAGAGGTCAAAACTGGAAGTCTTAAATAGCAACATGGGAAACATGGTCTTTAGATGTTAGAAAGAAAAATCTTTTTAATGCTTAAGTTAGTGAAACACTTGAACAGATTATTTTGGCATCTTGTGGAGTGCCAGTTGAAAGGCCTAAAGCAAGTATGTCTTTAGGACTGTGGAAACAGTTTTTCCTAACGTGTGCAGGCAGAGGGCAATTTTGCAACATATGTTTATTTCTGTGATGCTAAGACATAAGTGTAATATATCATCCCCTTTGAACTTTAGGAAGGTTGCCCAGATTGCTATTCAAATGTTGCTTTACATTTTAAAAAATGTGACAGGGTCAATTAGTATGATAACTCCAATTATTTAATATTGTCATGGTTTTGTCTCATTTCATCTAGAAAAATAAAAAAAAAAATCCTTTTGATTCCTGGGAACCCAGCTTAGAGAAGTATATATATCCTGTAAAAGAATTTTAGCAATCTGCTTTTTTAGAAAGATTTTTTTAAAAATATATTAAATATACTTAATAATAATTTTAATGCTTTTTTTTCCGCATATATGCCATCTTTATTCATAGCCTTTTCTTTCTTTCCCTTTTTGAATTTTTTATTAGCTTTACTTCTCAGCCATTGCATGGAGAGTAAAAATTATCTCTGAATACAGCTGCTTTGATTCTTAAGATAGCAGATGGTGCTGGAAATTAAAAGATAACTTTTTAATATTTGAGTGAAATTAATTAAGTCATAATTATGTGTTGCCTTCTTCAATACTGTACTTATTTCATTAATAGCAAGTAGGCTTTTGTCGCATCCAAAAAATACCAAATGCAGTAAAAAAATATTTCCAAGCCATAGTTGATAAACCATATGTAATGGGAGTCCCGCTATGGAAGACCTAAGTAACTGATGTGCCAAGACTAAAACATGAAGATCAGTGTTTTTGTGTCCTCTTCTACTCCAACTCCTTGAAGATTAATATAAAGTAGTAATTTTAAGGTATGATTTAAGGGTCAAGTGCAAGTACTTGAGATTTCTGTTTGTGAAACAACAGAAATGCTGCCAAGTCTCAGGGCTGGGGCGAGATGGGAGGTGCTGAGCCACAGTCACAAAGAGGCAGTACAGTGTAAGTGACTGCTGTAGGCAGGTCTAAAGAGGCTGAAGAGTGTCCTAATGTGGGTAACCAGACTCAAATTATTAAGAAGATGCCTTATTAGGTCTAAGTTAGACATAATGTGGCTGCTGCTTTCATGGATGTATGGAGGGGAAAAAAAACAACAAAAGGATAGGTAGATATTGTCAGAATATTGGTTTAAAGTGTTGCTGTGAAGCAAGCTGTTTTGATGTTATAGCCAATTTTGGGTATTATAGCCAAAGTTCTGTGATTTTTGACTAGGACAACCCTGTCATTTTTTCTACCATAGCTCCAGTGGATGGTAGACAAGCATTTCAGAGACTGCTTGTGAACTGAATGTAGTTTCTTTAATCTGTTAGAGTTGTTACTGTGTACTCTTTTTATTTGTTTTACTCTTCCTCTGCTCCACTTGTTTTATGTTATTAAATTGTCAGCCTTAGGAACACAGTGTACAATAAGGTTCCTCACACTTGGATTCAGTTGGTAAGCTGCATTGAGATAATTGTCTGGTTAGCAATAGATTAGCATTTTACAGTCGTGCTAATTATGTCAAGATTTACTGGCAGTTGTTACAAACATCCTGCAGATCCACTTCTGGTCTTTCTGCAGTCTATTGGAATATTTCCTTTCTGTTCTAGACCTCTGTTTTAAATAGGAGCATCTCATTGACATCCTTATAACAATGGTCCTGGTTTTACGCTGCTGTTTCTTTTCAACTAAAGCTTATTCAAGCAAACCAAAGTTCCTCACAGGTGTTCATCTGTGTGAGGCTTACTAGAACAGAAGTTTGCAGAAGCACAGGGCAGCTCTTTCAAGCCAAGCAGCTTTTGTCAGCCAGAAAGAGGTATTTCAGAATGTCCTTGGGTGACAGTAAGGAAGCCAAGTTCTTGCAATTCTGGTAGGTGCATCTCTGCTTTTCTGATCCCATCAGAACCTCTGTCCTTCTGAACAGGGTAGCAAAGTTCTCATCACACTTTCCAGATAGTCTTGTTCTTGATTCATCTTGCAGTCACATCTCTTTCACACACTTGTTTTTAAGTGGTTGCTAAAAATTCATGTGGCGATGTTGATGTTGCTGTATATCTTTAGAAGAATCAAAGCTCTGGTGCCAGCTCATGGTTTGACCATTCTTAAATGATTATGCATAGTAGCCCAGGTATTGTGCTCCCTTGTTCATATCATCCTACCATGATTTGATATTGTCTCAATTTAAGGAAAATGAAGTGTTTTGCTAAGGAGGATGAGTTATGAGGCAGACCAAACTCCTCCCTCTCAACAATTATAAATCCAAAATTAAGAGGTTCCAATCGAGGAACTAGGGAAAAAGGAAGAAATAACAACCCTTTATTAAAGGATATATGTGTATTGGCAAGAACAGCAACAGAACACAAAACCAACTAAACAATAATCCTGTACCCAAAAGCCCCCTTCAAAAAGGAAACAGTTCGATACTTCCCTGTCCTCTAGCACAATTCCAATCACGGTTGGCAGGGGCGCTGTTGGATCACTGGAGGAGCAGAGCCTGCAGTGCTCGGTGTTGGTCAGCGGGGGTGCTGTTGGGCTCTGGTGGTCACCGCATGAGGCTCCAGATCGCAAGAGAAGCCGACAATGGAGATCTTTCCCCCCCCGCCACCGAGGAGGGGAAGGGGAAAAGGAGAAAGAAAGGCAGTTTCTTTCCCACTAAACTCATGCTGTCTGTGGCTGGCTGTGGTCGGGACTCCCCTCTTTCCTCAACGAGCACAAACTCTCCGATGAAAACCGAGCAGGTCTAGCTGGTGACAGAGCGGACCGCAGGCAAACTGAGGCTGGAGAACAGCCAGATGACCAGGTTGAGAACAAAACCAGCCTCAGAGCTTTTTTCAACACACACCGTGCCCCCATTAAGGCAAAAAGAGAAGTGCCTCTTTCCAAAGAGAAGAGAGGAGAAAAACTCTTACCCCCCAACACACCCGCCCCAGCCTTAGAGAAAGCTATCATCCTGGAATGCAGATCTGCCAGCATTCTTTTGTATAGTCAATTACCCCTTCCCCCTCCTCGTTCAACATCTTCTTTTACAGCAGGACAGGGGAAAGGAAAATTTCTGCTTGGATTTTTGGAACAAGTAAACCTATGAGAGATATATTATCAATAATCAATGGATGACCTGAATCGTACACAACTTTTATGACAGTAGTACAGAGTTTCTCTATATTACATGAAACAACTCCAGATCATTTATTGCTCGTGTGGTTTTCCTTTTATGGGAAGGGGTTTAAAGTACAGAATGGTTTTGTGATTTCCATAGCCCCCCACTTTCTCCTTACTAATAGCATTGTAAAGGAGTTGCGGTAAGATTGCTGCATCCTGAACATCCTAACTGGTTTTGGTTTCATAATTGCCATTCTTTGACAATAAAGACCTCCCATGGCATCTCTACATAAGGATATAAGAATAATATGTAAAATATCCTAATTTAGAGCAGTCCTTTACTAAACAGGAAAAATGAAGAAGGAAATATTTATTTTTAACTAGTAGTGGGTTACTTTAGGCCATCTGTTACTTCCAGTTGCATTATAACAATACATTATCACCAGACAGTGTTCCCATACAACCTTTTGGAAACTCTCAACTATGTATTTTCTGTATGTTGCTATTTATGCTGCAGAGAGATACCTGCAGATAGAAAAACAAACACTATGGACATCACCTAGTGAACTTTAATTTTTAGATTCTGTGTCACCTTTCAGTTAGTAGAGTCACCTTTGTATCCAGTGCAGTCTGTATTTTTGTATTTGAGGATTATGCTGCACTTGAATTTTCTTTTTCTATATAAAATGACAATAAAAATGAAATCTGAATTTGTGAAATGTTTTTCTTTAATTGGAAGATGAGAATTTTCTGTAAATGTCTGGCTATTGGAGAGGCTATGACTCACATTGCTTTACAGAGAATTTTTAGTCAATGATGTAAAACACAGTGTTGTCAAATGCATTATAATTATATGATCTTATAACTGTTGGGGTCGGTTTCATTTAGCTACAGATGCTTGTATGCTTAACTGTTATTGCCAAGAGATGAATAAGACTATTTTGAGTCCTGAACCTGTTTTCCTTAAAAAGGATATGTGTGTGTGCCAATGCAAAGTAGCATAATAATGTTTTCATAATGTTGGATTATTTTATGTGAATTTATGCTTTTTCTGTGATACCATAGATATAAAAATCAGAGTGATTGATGCAAAGTACGTTAAACCAAGACCAAGTTTAGCAGATTCTTAGTTAAGTCAATTAAGGTACAGTACTTTAAGTTCTATGTTTTCACTAATAGTCTTATTTGGCTTTTTGAATAAATCTTGAGGTTATAGAATAAAAAATTACTTCCTGAAGTGAGTGTAATGTTTTAAGAGCTACATTTTAATTGATGCTCTCATTCCTTAAAAGAAAAACATAAAAAAAAAAATTAGTTGTCTTAGTTTGGAAGGCTGGCTGTTACATACTTCCAACTTCTTTTTTAGGTTTGTAGGTGGAGAGCTGAATATCTGTTACAATGCTGTAGATCGTCATGTTGAGAATGGACGAGGAGACCAAGTTGCCATTATTTATGACAGTCCTGTAACAAATACCAAAGAGAAAATAACATATAAGGAACTTTTTGAGCAGGTATGTTTCCAAATAACCTTGTTATGGAAAAGGGGCAGTAAATATTGCACAGCAGGTAGGTACCAGAGAGGTAAAAATGGTCTACCTCGCTGGTTTATTCCTTTTGCTGTGCTCAGTATTGATTTATAAGCTTTACTACCTGTACCAAACTATACTGCATCCAAGAGGTTTTGATCTTCCTCTATTTCCTCTTTTTCTTCTACAGTTTAATAGTTTTTTTCCCCTGATTGGTTAAATTTTCAACTTGTCTCTATTTGATTTAATTTTTCTCCCCTAATAGTTCTTATTTGAAAGGTAAAGCAAAGGAGTAGTCAAGTTATTTGACAGTTGCTGTGATGAACAAAAACACAGTTTTGCAGAAATCAAATGTGTACCTTGGCTATTGCTGCACATGAGTGGGTGTAACCACAAATGAAATTTGACGGGGAGAAACTCTAAAAAAAGCTGTGTCACCTGCCCTGTTGTAGGCTGTCATGGCAGTGCTGATGGTTGCTGGTGGCCTTTCTGCCTGGAATGTCTGGGGATTTTGGCTTCCCTGTTGGCTGAGGTAGCTCACCCCTGCTGAGGTCATGAATACCTCGTTCTCCATCAGCCCATTCAGATTTACCGTGTGCCTGACCACGGGTTGTTGCCACCGTGGGTGTTGCAGTCTGCCCCATTCAAGGTTCTCCGCTCTCACAGCTGTTGGCTGGTGGTTTGCCCTCCTGCTGCTCCTCTGTTTTAGCTAACTTCTTCCTTCCAGTTACATGTAACGGTTGAACTTAACACTGAGTACAAAGAAATGTTCTAGTTAGACTCATATTCATCCTTAATGTGTTTCAATGTGCAAGAAGCAATACGGTGAATGGAACACACTCAGTTTACTTCAGATATACATATAGTGTCTGAGTAATATGAACTTAGGGTTTAAAATGTGAAATGAGGTTCGTAATACAGTAATTCATGTTGTGAGGGTTTTATTCCACTGTTGTAAGAAAAAGGAAGTCATACAGCTACAAAAAAATGATAAACCTGTTACGCATTCTACCTTTTAAGGAAAATATAGAAAACATTTACCCTTTACCGGTTTTCTTTTGATTTACCAAGTTCAAAAAAATAACTTGGAAGGCACCATGCAGTAAGCTGGAGCTTGAACAACTAACTACAGTGTTGTAAGAAATCAGAAGACTATAAAGGGGCCCAACTCCTTATCTAATTCTATTTATCACTATATATAATAAGTATAACTTTATAGATACAATTTTTGTATAAGTTGCCTTTAATAACTACAATATACACATAGTATATACCCAAATACATATGTATATATGAAATAAATGTATACATACATATACATATAAAATACATACTTGTTTTTAATGAAGTAATACAACATTTTAATATAAATTATCTTAAATGAACTTTGTCAAAATTTCCTCTGAAAATAACTTGAAAAGTGGCCTTTGTTCTGCTTTTTAAGCTTGATATTGTATTAAGTCTCCTAAGTTTCTATCTCTGTATTCTCTATAAGTGTATTAAAAGTTTTAGGATATGGCAGATTTGTGCAGAATGAGAAAATTTTACGTGTTGACATACACATCCTTTCATCCACATTTCTGTTCACAGCAGCATTGCCAAACCAAATGGAAGAACTGGTTTAAGTTTTCTGGGGTTACGTAGCAGTACTCACTCAGAAGTTCATTATAATCTTGCTGGTAGTTGAGTCCTATCTAAATACTGTATTTGAGTTCTCTACGGTTTGTTTTTCTTAATCAAAAGTGAATATAGGTGAAAGGCAATATTTGAGATTAGTAGCTTGTCTGTCGAAGCTTTCTGGTCCACTCTTGTGGAATAAATTTAATTATGTTTACCTGCTAACTGCTGGACACCTGATAACAAAGGTAACAAAGAGATCTGCTGAAAATGGGAGGGATGTAGGCTGGTATATTTTTTTTTGTTGTTGTTTTGTAGCTGCTAGGAGAGACTTTGAGAAAAGGCCTACCAAAACCACTGTACAGCGTGGGTATTGATGTTTGGCTCACAGCCCTCAGTCATTGCTTGTCACCATGTTCTCAGTCTGCTCAGTGTAACCTAAAAATACTATATTTTATCATTCTGAAATAGACTTCAAGCTGAAATAGTATGAGTGCAGATCAGATATATGACTAAAGCTGATGAACCTCCTGATGGGAAAGGAAACCTTTTACCTTTTTTCCTGAGTTCCTTCCCAATTTGAACCAGCCTGAAAGTGTGTATCTGTATTCATACCATTGTTTGGACTGTTCACATCCAATGAATGTTTAGTTGGCTGTCTGGCCAGTAAGCTGATAGTGTAATGAGAATGTCTTTTCAGAAAGGCTGCCTGCAAAATGTCTCTACAAGAGAGATCACTTGAAGTGGTGCAATTCTTTCTAGCTTTTGGTAATAAAAGTGGAGTTTATAGATGTTTTCAGCAGAAGTTATGTAGGATAACTGTGGGTCACAGAATGGAAAGATGCAGAGTTTTGTAGCAAGCTGGTTAATTTATCCAGGATCAAACTTGTGGTAAGGATGAAAAAAAATGACAGAGGTGTCTAGCTGGACTTAATAAGGCTCCTTAGAAATAGCTTGGGCTCTGTACTCAGCCTGTTACTTTCAAATTATCCATATCTTTTTTACTTGTTGCACTGATTTTTAGATATAAGAGCTACAGTGATGCTGCAATTTTCAAGTTAAGCACCACTAAACTTTAAATAATTGAGAGAAATGTTGAAAGTCTGTTTAATGCCCAGCCTGTGGGAAACTTTTTTTTCCTGACAGACCTGGAATAGAAGGATTTCAGGAAAGTTTTATAAAATTCTTATTGATGTAAATAATGGCAAGATCAATTTGTGTTGATACTGCTTTCACACTTGGAAAGTTTTGAAAATTACAGTTAGTTAAAGTGAAGTTGTACATAGTGCATGCAGTTGCATCTTTGGTGTGTTTATATGTTGTTACAGACGAAATCTTCCAAATGCAGAGGAGGAATTTGGCAAATTTAAGACACAGTGGTCTTCCAGAATGCACTGATTGGTCTTTTTTCTTTACTGATGCCTGTTACAGGCCTTCAAATGTGGATTACAGTGTTGAAGCCAGTAAAATGGAGATGTAGGTAAAAGTTTTGAATATGCCTTGGGAGATTCTCTAATTTCAGTAGTGAGATGGCAGAAAGAGATAAGGGAGACACAAATTCCCAACTGTATGAACAAGGGCAAGTGCCGGATTCTGCACCTGGGACGAGGCAATCCTTGTTGTTAGACTGTATAGACTGGGAAATGAGACACTGGAAAGCAGTGCCGTGGAAAGGGACCTGAGGGTCCTGGTCAATGGCAAGTTGAATATGAGTCAGCAGTGCCCTGGCAGCCAGGAGGGCCAACCGTGTCCTGGGGGCATCAGGCAAAGCATCGCCAGCTGGTCGAGGGAGGGGATTGTCCTGCTCTGCTCTGCTCTGGTCTGTACTCACCTTGAATATTGTGTGCAGTTTTGGGCACTGCAATATTAAAAAGATGTTAAGCTATTAGAGAGTGTCTGAAGAAGGGCTCTGAAGATGATGAAGTGCCTTGAGGAGAAGCTGTGTGAGGAGCGGCTGAGGTCACTTGGTCTGTTCAGCCTGGAGGAGTCTGAGGGGAGACCTCATTGCAGTCTACAACTTCCTTGTGAGGGGAAGAGAAGGGGCGGGGACCAATCTCTTCACTCATTACCAGTAATAGTACCCAAGGAAATGAAGCTGAGTCAGGGGAGGTTAAGGCTGGATATCAGGAAAACGTTTTTCACCCAGAAGTTGATTGGGCACTGGAGCAGGCTCCCCAGGCGAGTGGTCACGGCACCAAGCCTGACAGAGTTCAACAGGTGTTTGGACAACACTCTCAGGCACATGGTGTGATTCTTGGGGTGTCCTGTGCAGGGCTAGGAGTTGGACTTAATTACTGTGATGGGTCCCTTACAACTCAGAATATTCTGTGATTCTATGAAATTCTGTTAGAAATATTACTGAAGCTGTGTAGTATTAAGTAAATATAAAGATACTAGAAGGAAGAAAGGGGCAATGGCTTCTGTTCATTTGAAAATAAGTTTTCTGATTGTGTTGGAAGATACTACTATTTTCAAGTTAATGCAGAGGTTATTAGGTAGGTGAAAAAAGCCTTCTGTTTACATCATTAGGCGTATTCTCTAAAATGCCTCACTTGCTAAAACGAAAACTCAAGAATTTGAGTTGTATTATTTGCAGCCATTGATGCTTGACAAATCATGTACACAAACCCAGTATGATTTCTCTCTGTGATTCTTTTCAATAACAATGCACAGTTAAGGTGTTGCATTCAGTGCCATAATAAATAATTTCTAAGTGCAGTAATGTGACAGGATTAGTAATACCAACCCTCTCCTGGCCAAGCCTCTGAGAGCATTGAATGTCACAGAAGCGTGGATGAGAAGGAAGGGCTTCAGGTTATCAGCAATGGGCTAAGATGTAATTTCTTCTGCAGGAAGGTTTTTTTCCTAAAATTACCCACCCTAAATGTATCTTCTTTCAAAATAACTATATTAGACTACGTCAGTTTGAATTTATGTGAATGTACATGTCTTTTGCTACTCATATCTCATATCTGCTATATGACTGAGGAATAACCCTGATCATTTTGTTTTTTATAATCTTTCTTATTCTTTTTTTTTTTTACTCCATCTTCTTTCTTTCCCTTCTGCCTTGAAAAATGACTAATTCCTTCTTAGCTAGAAACAGAGATTTTCATTTCACGGTAATTTTTCTCAGACTTGACTTAGAATCAAAACTAGAATACGGTAAAAAAAATCCTACTGAGACTGACAACCCAAATTTTTATCTTCTTTGCTAGTAAAACAACAGTATCTTGATAAAAGAGTGTATTAGATTCACTTAATGCTGGATATCCTTATCTTACTTAAATATCAAATGGCATTCTTCAGTGCATGGCTTAGAATGATTTAACTGAGATGTCACTGGGGTAGCTATTAAAAAATATCAA